CCTGATGCCAGGGGCTTAGGTGGAGAGCAAATGTTTTGAGAATGATGAGGGCAATGAATATACAAATGTGCTTCACACAATTGATGTTTGTATGGATTGTGATAAGAGCTGTATGAGCCCCTAATAAAATGATTTTAAAAATAAAACAAAAAAAAGGAAGCAGTTGGTGTGAACAAATGTCTCTCTCTGACCCCAGGGGGTTGGTGAGAGCAGTTCACGGGTCTAAGTAGGTTCTTATATTCACCAACCTCAGCCCAGGATTTTTTTTTTTTTTTTTAATGCGTAAGGGGGACTAGACTAGCTCCTGTTTTCATGTTCCTTTTCCTACAATGCCAGTACGGGGGACTTCAGAAAGTTTGTGGGAAAATGGGTTGGAAAGATCTGGAAAGAGTTTTGTAACTACGGAGCCTTTTCATCCTACAGATACGCCAAGTATTATAAGGAATCAAACATTGAAAAGCGGACTCTGCTGAAAGTCTTTGGGATTCGCTTTGACATCCTGGTGTTTGGCACGGTGAGTTTCTGTCCTGGCCCTTGGTCCCTGGCCCCCGGGCATGGCCCTCCAAGGAATGAGCTTTGTTTTGCTCGGAGTCATAAGCTGACTCAGAGCATCTCAAACTTGGGAGAAGAGGAAGGCCCGTCCTTGGGGTGCTGTCCATGAACAAATCATCCTGCAGGACAAAATTTGAATTTTCAACCAAAAAATACTCTGATTTTAAACCGAGAGAGAGAGAGAGAGAGAAAGAGAGAGAGAGAGAGAGAGAGAGAAATGGTTCTGATATATCATTTGTAAGTAAGAGAGCCTCACTTAAGTTGGCTTAAGAAGAAAAGTCCTTTGGAGGTGACTATGATGGGCACTTAGGGTGCTGCTCTTTCTGCTTGACCCAGCAATTGCACTGCAGAGCAGAAATGAGTTGCTCTGAATTCTAACCGTGTGAACATCCCCACTGTGTTTCCAAAGGAGGACAGTTTCTTTGTTCGTCAACCGTGCAGTGTGAATTGAACATTTGCAGAGCTGACCAGTTGCCCATTCAGCAGCTCTTCTACACTTCGCTGCAGTGCATCCCTTGCCACCCCTTGCTGACCCATCACATGTCCCACTTCCTGTTTCCTGTTTCCCTTCCTCCTTCTTTCCTAACCCTCTAAATTTCATCCTTGACTGAATGCTGCCCCTTTCATTCTAAGAAGAATGTCCTTCCCTAGTATTCATGTTTCCTTAACAGCCCTGTCTACTGTTTGGATAAAAATTGAACCATGGGGCCAAATTTAATTTCAGACCTGAAGGGTGACTAGCGGCCATAGTCTCAGGGGATCCGATCGCCAGTCTCTCTCTGACTTATAAGCCTGGTTTGTTTTATTGTGTGTTTTTTTTTTAATGGTTTTGAGTTTTGTTCCACATTTTTTTCAGGGAGGAAAATTTGACATTATCCAGTTGGTTGTATACATTGGCTCAACCCTCTCTTACTTTGGTTTGGTAAGTCTCTTTCTCGGTTTCTGTAAAGGACTTGACAAAATGACAAGTCACTTTTATCTCTGCTATTGAGAGAAAGGAAGTTCCACACCCATGCTGTTGAATCTTGAGCACACTGAGAGGAAATTTCTAGAAAAGGCAAATGCATAAAACAAAGACCAAAGTTTATGATTGGTCAGAAGGTGATGGGGCAGGGAGAAGTTATTGCTTCAGGGGTACAAAGCAAGTGTCTGGAGGTGATATAAAACTTTTGGAAATGGACAGTGGTGATGGTTGTATGGTGTGATGAATGTAATGGATGTCACTGTAATTGATGTGTTTTTAAAATGGTTACTATGGCAAATTTTCTATTTTTCAGTTATATCTATTTATATAGATATAAACAAATATATATTTATATATATAAATTTTCTATTATTTATATCTACAAGGGGGGCTTGAAAAAAATTGTGCAAAAAAACGGAATTGAAAGATAATGATGTTTTCCATGAACTTTTGGAAGTGCTCTCCTAGTAGAGGCATATAAATTGGAGAAACAGAAGAGGAGGCAGCAGTTTTATGAATGTGGTGCTTCTGTGTGTTTCCCCAGGCCACCTTCTTCATCGATTTTCTCATCAACACGTATGCCAGTGGGTGCTGCCGGTCACATGTCTACCCCAGGTGCAAGTGCTGTGAGCCATGTGGCGTGAATGAGTACTACTACAAGAAGAAATATGAAACTGTTGTGGAGCCCACTAGGGTAAGGGGCGCTGCCTGCGTGTGTCTGAGACATCTGTATAAGATGCCACCTGTATAGGGTCCAGTAGGTTTCTGAAGAATCTGCTCAAACAAGGTCCCAGTATCCCCCTTTGGGTCTAGCCTCCACCTGGGTAGACCAGCTCTCAGATAATGCCTTTGATCTTAAGGAAGATCAGAAATAATAATTGAGAAACAGCAAGGGACTAGAGCAAGGAAGTCTGGAGGGAGTTCCCAAAATAAGACTTTGAAACAGGGCATGACACCCCATCAGACTTGACCGGAAAACACTCCTAGAGATCAACAAACAGACCTTAAACTATTTACAGGCTTCTCTCTCTTTTTTTTTTTTTTGGCATTGGTTTTTGTTGTTGTTGTTTTCTTTTCTTTAGTTGCTTTGTTTTGCTCTGTCTTGTTTTTGTGCATATTATTATCTCTGCATGTCTATCTAGATAAGCTAGACTGGGTAAGCAATCTGGAGGAGAAAAAAACGGGGACCTATGGTTCCTGGGGGGACATGGGAGAGGGGGAGGTGAGAGAAAGGAAATGGTGTGTACAAACCCAGGGACAAGGGAACAACAAGTGATCCAATATCAGTGGTGAGGAGGGTGTAAGAGGCCTGGTGAGGCTTGATCAAGGGTAATGTAAACGAGAGGAATTACTGAAATCCAAATGAAGGCTGAGCATGAGAGTGGGCGAAGAGGAAAGTAAAAGGAAATAGAAGAAAGAACTAGGAGGCAAAGGGCATTTATAGAGGTCTAAATAAAGGCATGTACATATATAAATATATTTATATATGATGATGGGGAAATAGAGCTATAGTTTAGTATTAAGGTAGCAGATGGACATTGGGCCTCCACTGAAGTACTCCCTCAATGCAAGAACACTTGTTCTATTAAACTGGCATTCCATGAGGCTCACCTTCCTGACATGATTGCTGAAGACAAATGTGTGCATAAGCAAATGTGGTGAAGAAAGCTGATGGTGCCCGGCTATCAAAGATATAGCATCTGGGGCCTTAAAGGCCTAAAGGTAAACAAGCAGCCATCTAGTTGAGAAGCAACAAAGCCCACATGGAAGAAGCACACCAGCCAGTGTGATCATGAGGTGTCAAAGGTATCAGGTATCAGGCATCAAAGAACAAAAAATCCTATCATTGTGAATGAGGAGGTAGTGCAGAGTGGGGAACCAAAGCCCATCTGTAGGCAACTGGATATCCCTTTATAGAATGGTCTCGAGGAGGAGACGAGCCAGTCAGGGTACAGTATAGCAATGATGAAACATACAACTTTCTTCTAGTTCTTAAATGCTTCCTACCTCCCCACCCCCCAGGTATCATGATCCAAATTCTACCTTACAAATCCAGCTAGACCAGAGGATGTACACTGGTACAGATAGGAACTGGAAACAGGGAATCCAGGACAGATGAACCCTCCAGGACCAGTGTTGAGAGTGGCGATACCGGGATGGTGGAGGGAAGCTGAAGTAGAAAGGGGGGACTGATTACAAGTATCTACATATAACCCCCTTCCTGGGGGACAGACAACAGAAAAGTGGGTGAAGGGAGATGTCGGACAGTGTAAGAAATGACAAAATAATAACAATTTATAAATTATTAAGGGTTCATTAGGGAGGGGGGTCAGGGAGGGAGGGGGGAAAATGAGGAGCTGATACCAAGGGCTCAAGTAGAAAGCAAATGTTTGGAGAAGGATGAGGGCAATAAATGTACAAATGTGCATGAAAAAAAAAGATGTATTCTGTGATGAGGGCAACAAATGTACAAATGTGCTTGACACTATGGATGGAGGGATGGATTGTGATAAAAGTTGTATGAGCCCCCAATAAAATGATTAAAAAAGAAAAGAAAGAAAGAAGAACTGAGAGACAAGACAGACAGAGGGGTAACATTCTATCCCAGAATGTGTCAATGTTGTCAAGCATATTAAAGCAATAGAGCCAAAAGGAAAGCAAAAATTCTAACAATTTGGGAGGAAAAATTGGTAGGACCTAACAAATAACATGAAAGCATTGGACTGCAATATCAGCGGTTCAAACCCACCAACCGCTCTTCAGGAGAGAGTGGAGGTGACCTGCTCCCATAAAGATTTACTGCCTCAGAAACCCTGTATAGGGGCCCTAGGAGTCAGAATCAACCTGATGGCAGTGGTTTGGGTCTGGGGTAACTAATAATATTGAAGAGGGGCATGATGGGAATGCATAATAAGGCATACCTGGCACCCTTTAGAAAGGATGAGGTTGATAACAGCCCACATCGCTGGAGTCCTTTCCATGCTGTGAGGATTCTTCACAGTGATTTATAGATTCAGCCCACTGAATCTTCACAACAACCCACTAAGTAGATCCTGCTAGCAGTGCTGGGCTCCTGGCGGCACATTGACTAAACATTCAGCTGCACACAGGAAGACCAGCTCTTTGAAGCCACCGGCCATTCCTTGGGAGAAAGCTGTGGCTGGCTGCCCCATAAAGACTGACAGCCTTGGAAACCCTAAGGAGCAGCTCTGCTCTGGCCTGTAGAGTCATTCTGAAGTCATAACTTACCTGACAGCCATGGGTTTGGTTTTTAGTTTACTCATCTCTATTCTAACAAATGAGTAGATTGAGGCATACTCTTAGCTGCTGTCGAGTCAATTTTTACCTCATGGTGGTCCCATGTGGCAGTGTAGACCCCTGCACAAGGGTTTCTAGCCTGCCATCCTTATAGGAGCAGGTCGACAACTCTTTCTCCTGCAGGGCCACTGGCTGGGTTCAAAACACCCACCTTTCCATTTACAGTCGAATGCTTCACTGCTGTGCCCCCAGGGCTCCTTAAGTTGGCACATAGAAAAGTTTATTAATCTTCCCAACGCCATACAAGTAGTCAGTGATTGAGCTGAAGATTCCAGTTCAGACTGGTTGAATTTAAAAATCAGGTTCCTAACTGTTTGGCATAGGTACTGGCAGAAGCAAAGAGCCATGGCATCTCGTTGAATGAGAGAAGACAAGCGTAGAACAGCATGAGGTTCAAAAAAACAATGACGGCACACGTAAAGTCATCTGATGTGTTTTTTTATTGTGTGGTGCACACAATGTGACCACAGTGACCACACACACTGTTCCTGTGGTGTGATGTCCAGTGGATTCTGCCTCATATTGTTATTAGGTGCCTTCCAGTCAGTTCCAACTCATAGCGACCCTCTAGGTACAACAGAACAAAAGACGGCCTGGCCTTGCACTGTCCTCGTGATTGCTCTGTTGCAGGCCCACTGTTGCAGCCACTGTGTCAATCCATCTTGTCAAGGAGCTTCCTCCTCTTTGCTGCCCCTCTACTTTACCAAACATGATGTCCTTCTCCACGTGTCTCTCCTGATAACATGTCCGAAGTACATGACACAAAGTCTTGCCATTCTTGCCTCTGAGGAGTATTCAGGGTGTACTTCTTCCCAGAGAGATCTTGATTTTTCTTCAGTCTTCTTTATCCATTGTCTAACTTGCATATGCATAAGAGGCCATAGAAAACACCATGGCTTGGGCCAGACGCACCTTAGTCCTTAAAGTCACATCCTTGCTTTTCAACACTTTAAAGAGGTCTTGAGCAGTAGATTTACCTAATATTTGATCTCTTGACTGCTGCTTCCATGACCTTTGATTGTGGATCCAAGCAAAATGAAATTCTTTTCTCTGTTTATCATGATATTACCTATTAGTCCAGTTATGAGGATTTTGGTCTTCTTTTCCTACTGAAGGCTGCAATCCTTGATCTTCATCAGCAAGTGCTTCAAGTCCTCCTCACTTTCAGCAAGCAAGGTTGTGTCGTCTGCATACCACAAACTGTTAATAAGCCTTCCTTCGATCCTGATGCTACATTCTCCTTCAGATACTCCCGCTTGTTTGATTATTTGCTCAGCAGACAGATGGAATAGGTGACCTTATATGCAGAGTAGAACTGTCTCAGAGGGTTTTCTGGGTTGCAATCCTTTTTTCCCCTCTCTCTGGCCTGCAATCCTTGTGGGAGCCTTACAGTTAGCAGCCAAGTGCTTAACCACTGCACCACCCTGATAACATGCAAAACGCAAAATAATAATAATAAAGTGGTAACAATGGTTGTTCCCACAAGGTTGCTTCTAGGAAGGAGGAGGAGCCAAAAAGAACCTGGGACTGTATGGGGATTTGATTTATTTAGGAGGAAAACATGTAACGTCACTAACCACGTCTTCTGCTCTCAGCACCATAGTTTCCTGGATCAGAGAAAAATGTGTGGAACTTAAAAGCAACAAAGAGGGTTTGTCCTCCCCTCATCCATGAGCGCCACTGCCCTGCCCTTCCCCACAGCTGCTGACTACAGGAGTCACTGTCCTGTGTCCGTGTATTTACAAAGTGAAATCAGCGTTCCTGTTTGCAGCTAAAACTATTCTCCACTTCATGGCCCCAGGGGGATGAAAGAGAGCTCAACCCCTAATTTAAGTGCCAATAATGTAACTGTCCATCTGAGATGGTCAATCTTGAGGCGGAGGTGAGGCCCTGGGCTGGGAACGCTCCCGGAATGTGGGGAAGAACTAAATCACGTAGCCCTGAATGCAACAGTCAAGGCCACCCAGGAAATGTCTGTCCTTTCTGTGGAATTTTCCCATAAGTCTGTGATGACTAAAAAAAAAAAAAATCTATTTATTAAAACTAAACAACAGGAAAGGTAAGGTAGCTCGGGCTCCAGTTCTGATTTATCTTTGGATGCAGAAATCTTTCGTTCTGCGTTCAAGAGAGTTTAGGGGTAACTTGGTTAAAATTCTAACATTCGTTAAATGAGAATAACAGTTGCCTTTAGCAATGCCCCAGGTATCTTCAAATATGCCATTCTTGGTCATTCCATACAAAATGGGCCCATTTTTTAAACCTTTTTCTCCCTCCTAGAGCTTAAAATACGTGTCCTTTGTGGATGAACCTTACATTAGGATGGTGAACCAGCAGCTACTTGGGAAAAGTCTGCAAACTTTCAAGGGGGAAGAAGTTCCAGTAAGTAAAAGCATTTAGGGTTTTGTTGTTGTTGTTTTTAGGTGTTTGTTTGTTTTAAAATAAAACTCAACTAAAGATGAACAGACATGATGGCCGTGGTTGTCAAGATCTCTCAGAGGACAGCATACAGCTTTGCCAGCAGAGGGAGCCTGGTGGGAAGCAGCGGGTGGAGCAGAAGATCTCCCTCCCGGGGAGCAGCCATTGGGAGCCCTAGGGAGCATAGTCCCACTCTACACACAGGGGCGGTCAGGAGTAGGAGTTAAGGCAATGGTGACTGGTTGGTCAGTTAGGTGATGGGCAGGGCCATAGATGCCACAAGGGTTTGCAATTGACTACCAATCAAGAGGTTGGTGGTTCACACATAACAATCCTCTAGTTCTTTAATATTTCCTTCCCTTACTATTATGGTTTTGATCAGTTGTACCTCACTAATCGTGTTAGATTTGTGTATGTACATTCGTATATTTAAGTTCATTCAGTACATAAAAGCCAAGACTAACCCTTCAGAAATAGTAACAAGAGTTAACAGTTCCCTGAGAGTACAGGGAGAAAGTGGAGGGAGTGGGGAATAGGGAGCAGATAGCACTGATGACTGTATAACCCCACTTGATAGGATCGAACAACAGAATTATATGTGAAAGGATATATTGGATTGTGTAAGATATGGTCCAAAAAAACCCAACTATTATAGGAAAAAAAAAAATAAGGGTTCCTGGAGGGGAGGGAAGGGGAAGAAGGGATAAAGGGGAGCTGATATCTAGGAGTTCAAGAAGAAAGAAAATGGTTTGAAACTGATTGTGGTCACAGTTGTACATTACTGCTTGATGTGATTGAACTATGGAATGTTATGATATCTGTAAGAGCTTCCAATAAAATAATTAATTTTAAAAATAGAGGTTGGTGGTTCAAACCCATGAAAGACATCGAGTCGAACCCAACTCACAGTGACCCTAGAGGACAGGGTAGAACTGCCCCTGTGGGTTTCCAAGACTGTCACGGTTTGTCTTTAATGTTTCTCCACTGCACTCCTTCGTCACACTGCTGCTCAGTGTGAAGATATTTTCTTCATAGGCAATAGTTTATCTTGAGTCTTTACGATGTAACAGCAATACCTTAATACAAATCATGGGAGGAAGGCTTAGAGCTCTACTTCTAAAAAGCAACTGATGAAAACTTTCTGAGTCACAATAGTGTGATTCCCTCATGGGCTTGCCATGAGTCCAGGGTTGATCAACAAGGATCATTGAAGACAAAAAGGGTGCCCAAGCAAATGTGGCAAAGAAAGCTGATGGTGCCCAGCCATCAAAAAATATAACATCTGGGGTCTTAAAAGGATTGAAGTTAAACAAGCAGCCATCTAGCAGAGACGCAACAAGCCCACCAATGTCACTTTTTACAGGAGCAGAAGCCCCAGTTTCTCCTGTGGAGAGGTTGGTGATTTTGAACTGCTGACCTTCTGGTTAGCAGCAGAATGGGTAATCACCAGGGCTCCTTCAGAAAGCAAGGTGTGGCAATATGTTTCTGTTAAGACTGCAGCCAAGAAAACCGCCTGGAGCACAGTTCTACTCTCACTCATGGGGTCGTCATGAGTCAGAATCGACAAAAGATTTTATGTGCTGGTCACTGTCCTCGATATTGGGGCTATAACAGGAAACAGAGCAGACTGGGGTCCCTGCCTGTGCATGGAAGACCAAAACCAGAAACCAAACCCACTGCCATCACACCTATTCTGATGTCTAGGGACCCTATATAGGACTCCTAAGACTATAAAGCTTTATGGGAATAGATGACCTTAACTTTCTCCTGCAGAGAAGCTGGTGGGTTTGAACAGCCAACCTTTTAATTAGCAGCAGTCCAACACTTACCAGTATACCCTAGGTTGGATGGTCAGGGGTAGTAGTCCTTTCTAAAGAGGTAATAGCTAAATTGAAGCCAAGCTTTTCTGAAATCCACTTCCCAGATCTATAAAGTGGAGGTAATGATACATATGTCAAGTGATTCTTAGAAACTTAGGTGGAGTTTCTATGAAGCAATATGGCTTTTAAAACATTAGCACAGACCTGATACATACAAGGTATTTAATGAATGACAATAAGCATACATTCACAAATAATTTGTCCATGTAGATAATGTGCTCACACATGTAACAATGCACATAGCATGCACAGAAAACTAAAATCAGGAAGGAGTTGCACTGGTTTGCAAAAACTTATAACATGTGTGTGATTTGCATATGTAAAATAGTAGTAGTAGTCATGAAAACTTAAATATAACTATAAAATTAAGCTAAAATTAAAGAACTTGGGAAATGGCTTTTTCAGAGACCCCCGATGGACTTCAGAGACCTGTTCAAGCTGCCACTGTCTTTACCTGAGCCATCTCCAACTCTGGGGCAAGAGACAGAAATGCAGCCGTTGTGTGAAGCGACAACTCCTAAACCCCAGGACAGCCCGCGCTGGTGCCAGTGCGGACACTGCTTCCCATCCGAGCTCAACTCAACTTCCAGATGCCTGGAAGAGCTGTGCTGCCGGCAAAAGCCTGGTGCCTGCATCACCACCTCAGACCTGTTCCGGAAGCTTGTCCTGTCCAGACACACCCTGCAGTTTGTTCTGTTCTACCAGGAGCCCTTGCTGGAGCTGGACCCGGAGTCCACCAATAGCCGGCTGCGGCACTGTGCCTACCAGAGTTATACCACCTGGCGCTTCGGCCCCCAGGACATAGCTGACTACGCCATCCTGCCCAGCTGCTGCCGCTGGAGGATCCGGAAAGAGTTCCCCAAGAGCAAAGGTCAATACAGTGGCTTCAAGCATCCTTACTGATGACACAGGGCACCTTCACGACACCTCTCATTATACCTTGAGTTTATCCTTCAAAGATTGGTGGAGGCTCTTTCAGCCCAAGAAAAATGTGCTTTCTCAGTTTACAGCTTTAGAAATGTCCAAGAGCACAGTGGCCTGGGAGCCACGAGCTTCAGATTTTTATTTCAGGCTGAATTCTACTGATCCAGAGTTATGTGATCTTCGGCCTGTATCCACTGTGTCTCCTCACGACCCCACCAACTCTGGCACAGAGCTATCTTGCAGACAAACAGAGACACCCATTCCTACACGAACTCTCCTATCAATGTCGAAAGTGAGGCTTAGACCTGGTTGCTCCAGTTCCACTCCCTACAGAGTATTTGTATTCCCACCCCAGCCGTACTGAATCGGGACCTACATCTTAACAGGATCCCCAAGTGATTCTAATAGGCCTTGTTAAAAGGCAGATTCTGATTCTGTGTATCTGGGGAAGAAATGCAAATTCTTAGCAGAGGATGGCACCACAGAATGAACAGTTGTATGAATGCAGACAGTCCCACGAGGCGGCCAGGCTAGCACAGTCGTCAACTCAGAACAACCCCCGGGGTCCTGTTTGGCGGACCTGGAGGATTCAATATGGTCACAGGTCTTTGCCGCTCATTCCTTGAGACTTGAACTCTCTGCCTCCTCCTCTTGGATCTGGGCAGGCTCTGACTGCTTTACCCAGTAGTGAAAGTGATGCTGTGACAGTTCCAGGGCGTTGGTCCTGGCAGCAGCTACTTCCTGTCCCTTGGAAGTCTTGCTGAGGGGGAAGCCAGTCACCATGTAAGAAGCCTGGCTACCCGAGGCCACCCTGTTGTGAGGAAGTCCAAGTAGCCATGTAAAAGAGAGATGGCCAACTAGCCGCCAGCTGTCCAAAACCACTAAGCCCATTCACCAGACACAGGAAGGAGAGGAGGGCTTTCAGATGACTCCAGACTCCACCAGCATGTGACTGCAATTGCATAAGAGAAACCTATGTGATAATGCCCGGTCACTTTAAATTGTGGATGTAAGCACTAAGTTTGGGGTAGTTTGATACCAGGGACAGAGAGCAAGTCTGATGCTGGACACACAGGTTCAGTCCTGTGAAGTCTGTAGGGCCATCTCTAGAAGCCCGCAGAAGTCCGGGTTTATGGTCAGCTGTTCTAGAAGGACTACAGATCAAATTATGTAACTCACCAGGCCAGCCCTGAAATCCACCAAATCTAACTATTCAGCTGCTACACAGCACAGTAGCACACATCATGTTTCTATGTCAGGGAGCGACTACTGATGTCAGAACCTGGAATGGGCCGCCTTTAAGCCTCGAACATTGGGGACTGGTAGAATTCTCACCTATCATGTAGAAGACTCAAGTTTGATTCCCAGCCAATATACCTCAAGCAAAGATACCACCTGTCTGTCCACAGAGGTTTGTGTGCGATGTCCGTGGAGTGCCAGACTGGTTTCTGCGGAGCTCCCAGACTAAGATGTACTATGGAAAAAGGCCTTATGACCTACTTCCCTATGAATCACAATAGTCCAATCTATAATTGATTATTCAAATGGCACAGGGCCAGACATTGATCATTTCTGTTGTGCATGGAGCTTCTAAGAGTCTCTGGACTCGTGCCAATCACCGCCCTGACTAATAACAACACATGCCTTTAACACCCTGTGCTGTGCAGTCAGTCAAAGTTGATGCAGCCTGGATGCTACTGAACAAGCAACCCACACTCTAGTCCTTACCATTCCTATCCACCAACTGAGAAGGCGGCAAAAATGAGTAGCTGCAGGTTTTAAGATCCTCCGGTAGATTTCCTTGTTCATAGCTTTGACACTAGAGTAGGCTATCTATCTATTTCTAAACAGCCACCTTAAACTTAATAAAGTTTAGAGACCATTACTCAATACTGTGATTGACAAAGGACCTGTGAGGTTTTTATTTTTGTTTTTTACATATACACTGATTTACCATCTTGATATCTTCTAAAACACTGGGAGTTTCTATTTTATTACCGGGACTAAGGTGTGGCTGACCCAAGCCAGGATATTTTCAATCGCTTCCTATGAGAAAATTAGACAATGTGTAAGGAAGACCAAAAAATTGGCACCTTTGAATTATGGTATTGGCAAAGAATATCAAATATACTGTGGACTTCCAGATGAAGGTACAATATGTCTTGGAAGAAACACAGCCAGAATGCTCCTTAGGTGTGAGACATCATCTCATATACTTTGGACAAGGGGTCAGGAGAGACCAATCAATCCCTGGTGAAGGATATCATGGAAATGTGGAGGAAAAGTGGAGGGTCAGTGGAAAAAAAGGAAGCCCCTAACCCAGATGGACTGACACAGTGACTACAACAAGGGTTCAAACCAACAATGACTGAAGATGGCACAAGTTTGGGCAGTGTTTTGTTTAGTTGTACATGGATGGGATCTCTATGAGTCAGAACAGACTCACCAGTACCTAACAACAGGGACAATAACTCTGTGTGTGTGACCCAGAATATTTTCTAGCTTTAAACTCAGGAATCAAATGAATTAAACCAGACTGAACTTTCATTTTTACTACCTTTTGGAGATCTTTTTGAATATGAATACTGGATTATGGCTGGCTTCTTGGGGATAGAAATCATTTACTCTAAGAATTCTCTGTAAATGCTAGGACTTTCTATTCTGATGATCTCTGAGCCTTTACACCTTCATTTCTGGAACTGAATCCCTCACGTGTTTCTATCAACTCGTTGAGGCCCCAGATGGAGTCAGCATTTGAAATAGCAAATAACCACTGGATCCACCTACTGCTATCCTCCTTCCCCACTGGTGCTCTGGGCCAGAGGGGAGGTGTGACTTCAACTGTGTGCTACATGTCTGGCACTTCCTACAGTAACATGGAAGTGCACTTCTATTCTTATTTTCAGTGGACTGCAGAAAATAATGTTATCCTCAAAGGCATCCCAATGTGAGTCTCATTTTGTGGCATCTATTTTCTTGTACTTAAATCCATTTTTCTGTTGAAATATCACTGTGTCCATTGCTTTGTCTCCGTGGCGGAAGAAAAGCGATCTGCTCACTGGCTGATTTCGTGTACAATTGGAAATGGACTTGCATTTCTCTCCTTAAAGGGCCCATGTTTTAGATTCTTCCTAAGTCTAACCCAGCCATGTCTCATCCATTTTGATAATAAGAAAAACTGATGTATAAGTCACATTTATTGGAGTCGTCTCTTTTTCTTTTCTCAGATCATAGCTGGTACTTTCACCAACAATTTCACTCAATGGTCAAACATGTTTACATCTCTTCTTCAATATCTCCTTTATTTTCATTAATTTAGCTTCTTTCACAGCACATGGTGCTCCCTGGACTGACCTGGCTTTATATCTTTCATTGAGATACTCCCTGGAAGCCAGTGATAGATACGGTTGCTGTCCTCATGGGAGGTAAGGAGATGGACATTAGTCAAGCAAATGTAAACTTGTAACTTCTGACAAATATGATGATAAAGAAGGCAAAATAAATTAGGAGAGGAGGATTTGATCTACTTGAGGGGATCAGAGAAGCCCCCTCCGAGGAAGGAATCCCTTAGCCAAAATATCAGGAGTGAGTACTAGGAAACGAGGTAAAGGGGGAGAGAAGAGAAATGTACGAAAGAAAAGGCTGCAGGTATAGCATGTGCAAAGGCTCTGGGGCAGAGAGAATAGCAGGTAGGTAGAACTGTAA